TAAAGGTTTAAGAATTATTTTTCAAATAAATTGGACCTGACCTTGAAAAAGATGATTCAAGAACTATTAACAATTAGATTACCTGTTAACCTACATTGGTTCTTTCTTTAATAAATTTTATATAATCTGATTAAATAATCTAACTTTGTACGTAGTTTAGATTGTCCCAATAACTGCAAGTTGTTTTGTTATTTTACCAAAAATATCCTAGATTTGCTCTGTAGTTTGGAATCGGGAAGAAAGATTACTGATCTCCAGAAAGAACTGAGTAAAGAAGTTGAAGAAAATGAAGCTTTGCGTAAAGAAGTTAATTTGCTCTCAGGATTGAAATCTTTACCTTCAGAAGTAGAAATGCTAATGAAAATGGTAAATACGTTCTTAAGCAAATAATTCTTATTCTGAAACAAAAACCTTTGCAATAATGCCTTAAATATTTTGCCATAGTTTATTTTAAAGTAACGGTGAAGAGACTGTAAACATTTGACCCTGCTTGTTAGCAATAGAAATGAATATATTTCCTCTTCTAATTTGTTCTTATACTACTGGATGAGAAAATATACTTTCAAAGTATATTTACCAGTATCCTTGGTAATGGGATCCGCGTAGCAGCCGTTTCTCTAGTTCTCAGATGTTGTGTTTGCAGACTTCTGTGGCCCACGCTTAGTCTTCATCTCTGTTGTTGTTGTTGTTGTTCTAGTCGTATCACTGTGTTGAATAAAGGAGAGTGAGGAGGTACAGAGGGTGGCATTGGTAAAGTTCTAGAGGTCGGTGTGAATCTTGCAGCCTAGTGAACAATTCTATAAACCCTTCTGCCAGCCTTTCCTTTCTCTACCCCTCTGAAAGATATAAAAATAACAGGAATTTGAGTACTTATTACATGATGAACATCATACTGAAGAACTTGAGCAACATTATTTTATTTAGTCATCCTAAAAACTCTTTAAAGTACGTGCTGTTTTTTCGCCCAACACATAGTGGTGGAACTAATAGCTGAGCTACGCAGACCTGCCTCCTGCCCTGAGCCCATGATGGCAACAACTCTGCTGTCTCACTCTGTCTCCTCTGTCTCGCCTGTAGCTCTCCTCCCTTTTTCCCACTTCCTTCTAGTTAATCTTTCCCAATGATTAAACTATTTATAAGCTGGATATGGTTAGTTTAAATTAATTATTTAAATTTTTAAAATTTGAAGCTTAATTATTTAAATTATTCATGGATTAAGTTTTGGGAAATCTGAGCTGCATTCAAAGGCTTTAGAAAGAAAATAATAAGCAAATTCTAAGAAAAACCATAAAATGCCTGACACACCATAAAGTTAGAAAACACTTGAGAATGATAGAAAAGGAAATAAAGACATCCTGATTAAGTGTTTCTCCTTCTCCATGCAATCCTTACTAGAACCAAAGAGATTAGAAAGCAAAACTTTGTTGGTAGAGTTAAACAGGATAATATATTGTTGTAAAGATGTGACAATAAAATTATTGCCTTTCCTCAGTCAAATCTGTGCTTAATTTCAGTGTCTTTTTTTCTTTTTTGCAGAGAAAGCTTTTTTTTCTGAAAACTGCTTCAGTAGATCATATGTTGCTAACACAGCTAAATTTTATTTCTTTTCCATAGATACATGATAAATCTGAAGAGCTCTATATAATAACATCAGAAAGAGACAAATGGTTTTCTGAATTAGTTCATAAAGAGAGTAGAATTCAAGATTTACTTGAAGAAATGGGGAAAACTAAAAATGACCTAGCAACTACCCAGCTGAATTATAAAAGAACTGATCAAGAATTCCAAGATTTTAAAAATCATCATATTGAATTTGAGCAAAAGTATGAGATGGTCCTTGAGGAGAATGCAAGAATGAGTCAGGAAATAGGAAATCTCGCTAAAGAAGCTCAAAAACTTGGTTTAAGTTTGGATGCTTTGAACGTAGAGGTTGGTACAAGACACCCTCTCTGGAAATGGTCTTTAGTCTTCTGGGGTCTGGCTTCCATATAGAGGCCACAGAAGGCTCTCATTCTCACAGTTACTTTTTATTTTAAAGCTTTCTCACACAACCCAAGAACTTCAGCAGAAAACAACTGAGAGTCAAGAAAGGTTAAACGAAGTGCAAGAGCTGAAGCAACAATTAGAAAGTAGAGATTCTAGGCTTCAAACGGTTGAAAGGGAAAAGACACTGATTACTGAGAAACTTCAGCAAACCTTCGGAGAAGTAAGAACCTTAACCCAAGAAAAGGATGACCTAAAACAACTCCTAGACAGCCTGCGAATTGAGAGGGACCAACTCAAAAGTGACATTGAGGATACTGTAAACATGGTAAGCCTTTGACTGATTAAACTTTGAAAACTCAGAGCCTCTTTAAAAACACATTACAGGAGCCATCATTTATTATTTATGATCAAGTAGTAGCTACAAAATTACCTTCATTGTTTCACGTTATTCTAATTGAAATTGTGTTCTGTTTCTCTGACAAAGAACATAGACACCCAAGAACAATTACTAAATGCTCTTGAGTCTTTGAAACAACACCGAGAAACAGTTAACACACTAACAATGAAAATTTCTGAGGAAACTTCCAGGAATTTGCATATAGAGGAAAACATAGGAGAAACTAAGGATGAACTTCTGGAAAAGGTAAAGGGTGTTTCTGTTCAGCGTTTTCATATACTTGTTATATGAGCTTTCTCCTTAACCTCAAACACTTAAGTACGTAATGGTAATCTCAATCTTATTTATTATTCACAGTGAATAACAATAGTTTACAGGATTAGCCCTAATGTCTTTGAAATAACTTCAAATATAACTGCTTACAATCAACTGGAAAAGGCAAAAAATGTTAGGTCAAACTTTGAGCTGATATTTTCTGAGGCCTGGTGTATTTTAAACGTGTTTAAACGCCCCTCTGAATTATAAGAATGTAAGAAAGATTGAGTGCTTATTATTAATTATGGCTAAAATATTTGTTTTATATCAGATTTTGTATACTAGTTCAGAGTTCACTATAAAATCGATGTGTATGTTGTATTGATGTCTATTTCTAGAGCTGAGCTATACTTTTACTGTTAGATGCTGAAATCTCACCTTAATTCATTCTAGGTAGTATGGTTTGTTTTGTCCTGAGACCTGAGAATAACTTCTTCACTGGGTATTTAATTAGAGACAAGAAAGGCTAGGATGCTAACGATGACTTTTTTAAAAAGGGGGATGTATTAGTCTGCCATCACAAAATATCACAGACTGAGTCGCTTAAACAGCAGAAATTTACTTTCTCCCAGTTGTAGAGGCTGGAAGTCCAAGATTAAGGTGCTAGAAAAATCAGTTTCTGGTGAGCCCTCTCTTCCTGGCATGCAGGTGTCACCTTTCTGTGCCTTACGTGGCCTTTCTTCTGTGCATGAGCCAAGAGAAAGCCAGCTCTGGTGTCTCTTCCTCTTCTTAAACGGACACGGTCCTTTGGGATTAGGGCCTAGCCTTATGACCTCATTTAACCTTAATTGCCCTGCTTAAAGACCCTTTCTCCAAATACAGTCTCATTGGGAGTTAGAGCTTCAACATATGAATTTTGGGAGGACACAATTCAATCCATAACAGGGGATTGCCTGTAATTTTACACAATTGATTCATTTACTATACATTTCTACTTTTCAAAATGCCTTTTATGTATATTATCAGCAGAATTTTTTGTACTATTTTTCATTTTTATTATACTTAATACTATTTAATCCAGAATAATTACTACTAGGAATTTAAAACATTCATCAATAGGAGACTGGTGAAATAATCTTTGATACATGCATAGCTTGGAGGAGTAGTCGTTCATGTATATATAAATTTATTTTTGTTTGTTTTGTATTTTTAATTGTGGTAAAACATACATAGCGTAAAATTTACCAACTTTATCATTTTTAACAAACAGTTCAGTAGTGTTAAGTACATTCACATTGTTGTGCCACCAATCTCCAGAATTCCTTTTTTCTTGCGAAACTGAAACTCTATACCTATCAAACAACTCCCCATTCTCCTCCTCCCCAGCCCCTAGCGACCACTATTCCACTTTCTGTCTCTATTAATTTGACCACTCTAGATACCTCACATGAGTGGAATCATGCAGTATTTTGTCTCTTTGTGACTGGCTTATTTCATTTAACATAATGTCCTCAAGGTTCATCCATGTTGTAGCATACATCAGAAATTCTTTCCTTTTTAGGGCTGAATAATATTCCATTGTATGTATATACCACATTTTGTTTAAGCATTCACCCATCAATGGACACTTAGATTGCTTTCACCTTTTGGCTATTGGGTATAATGCTACTATGAACATGGGTGTACAAAGAGATCCTTCTTTCAATTATTTTGGACATATATCCAGAAATCAAATTTACTGGATCGTATGGTAATTCTATTTTCTATTTTTTGAGGAACTGCCATACTGTTTTCCATAGTGGCTGCACCATTTTATACTCCCACCAACAGTGCACAAGGATTCCAATTTCTCCGAATCCTTACCAACACATATTATTTTATGATGTTTTCATAGTAGCTGTCTTAATAATTGTGAGTTGACATCTCATTGTGGTTTTTACTTGCATTTCCCTAATGACTAGTAATGTTGAATATCTTTTCATGTGCTTGTAGGCTATTTATATATCTTCTTTACAGAAATATCTGTTCAAGTCTTTTGCCCAATTTTTTTGTTGTTATTGAGGAAGATTGGCCCTGAGCTAACATCTGTTGCCAATCTTCCTCTTTTTGCTTGAGGAAGATTAGCCCTGAGCTAACATCTAGGCCAGTCTTCCTCTATTTTGTAAGTGGGATGTCTGCCACAGCATGGCTTGATGAGCGGTGTGTAGGTCTGCACCTGGGATCCAAACCTATGAACCCCGGGCCGCCGAGGTGGAACGCGCAAACTTAACCACTACACCACCACGCCAGGCCCTTTTGCCCATTTTTAAATTGGTTTTTTTTTTTTTTGGTGAGAAGGACCAGCCCGGAGCTAACATCCAATGCCAGTCCTCCTCTTTTTTGCTGAAGAAGACTGGCCCTGGGCTAACATCCATGCCCATCTTCCTCTACTTTATATGGGAGGCCGCCACAGCATGGCTTAACAAGCGGTGCGTCGGTGCACGCCCAAGATCCGAACCGGCGAACCCTGGGCCGCCGCAGTGGAGCGAGCGCACTTAACCGCTTGCGCCACTGGGCCGGCCCCGGGGTTTTTTTTTTAGAGTTCTACATTTATGCCTAAGTATTTTATTTAGTTTTTACGATTTTAAATGGGATTTTTTTTTTTTCTTTGCTGAGGATTATTCACCCTGAGCTAACATCTGTTGCCAATCTTCCTCTTTTTCGCGTGAGGAAGGTTAGCCCTGAGCTAACATCTGTGCCAATCTTCCTCTATTTTTTTGGATGTGGGACACTGTTGCGGCATGGCTGGTGAGTGGACTAGGTCCATGCCCGGGATGCGAACCCACAAACCTGGGCCGCCAAAGCAGAATGCACAGAACGTTAACCACTCAGCCATGGGGCTGGGCCCTAAATTGGGTTCTTAGTCTTTTGTTGTTGAGTTGTAGAATTTCTTTATACAGTCTGGATATTAACCCTTTATCAGTTGTATGACTTGCAAAT